CACTCCAATTAAGAAATGGCTGCACCATGTATAAAGGTATAAACATCAAGCATTGTTTTCCTCTGGGTATGATCCACTTACATAGAGGTCCTTCCGATTTAAGTATGTTAATTCAGATTATGCATGGAATAGTTGTAGCTATAGGGATTCAATTCGAACCTTCCCTTATTCTCACACAAATTGATAACTATATTAATTTCTGAAACTAAGTATAATAATGCATCTTTCTTTCATTTATGAATGTTTCGCCAGGAAGGAGAAATATTTCCCATTTTCTAGCTGTGAATTCACAAAGGAGGGAATAAATTGCAATCTTCTGCTCATAATTTAGAAGAAATGTAATAAATAAAGTAATTTGGAATTCCTACTGAATTTCCTCAGAGTAATATTAATAAAGTAGTATTGTGAACATAAGATATTTAATATTTCAGAAATATATTAAAATGATGAGCAAAATATATTGTTTTCTTTAATATTAAATTTATCATGATTTGTGGATAAACAAAATGGTTTTAGGGAATTTATTTAAATTATTATTTCAATGCATTCATTGTTAAAAGTAATTATTTTCAGCTGTTTGTAGCTCTAAATGTCCTTTGGTTAATTACTGGGGTTTTAGATTTCGGAATATCTTGAAACCGGATTCACCTAAGAACCTGCTCATAATCTTTAACTGTCCAGTTTGAATTTTCCTTCTGAAATTATGGGAAATTGTCGGCAGCAATTTGCCCATCCAACAATAAAATAATTAATCCAACAATAAATTCATTTTTAGGACCATTTTTACCTTTACGGTTTAGAAACCGTTAAAATACTGTTAACTGGTACAGTTAAAATACCGCGAATAACCATAAAAATTTCTAAATCTTAAAAATAACGTTTAACTGGACATTGGAGCTTTGTGGGTGTTGTGCCATTTATGCGTAAATGATAGTTTCGTATTCTTACAGCTCATTGTCACCGATTCAAGAGTGTAGGACACTGAAAACACTTCATGCATTAAACGAATAAAATAAATATTGTAACAATGGGATTCGAATCCTTGCTCAGCCGCTTATGCGATTGACCAATTAGGCCTCTCAGGTACAGTATGTACCCATCTACACGGCACAAAAATGCTAAGATGGGCTTATTTTGGCTCTGACAGAAATCTGGTTGTTCAACCGTATTAGGAACAAACTGTCAATAAACGTTTTTCTCAAACTTAACAGTTTGAATGTCATTTTTATAGCTATTTGACTGTGTTAGTTGAATATGGTAATAAAATATCGATTAAATAATGTGCTAGTTATCAGTTTTGCTCCGAAGTTTCCAACAGTAAGGTTTAGGGAGAGTCCTCTTAATATAAACAAGTTGAAATTACAATTATTTTATTTGTTATTTTAAGCATTAAGCAATTTTCCTAAATCATTATTTATTTCATTTGTCACTGTACCAATTAGTGATACAAATTTTCTTTAATGCAAATATAAGGAACACAATACACTCGGTGACTAAAGCACAAGGATTTACAATTAAGCTAATTACTTACGTTTCGCAATCTCTGACTTTATTTTTACTATTAGTAAACTATCTAGATTATGCATAAGCAAGCTAATTATTAAAATCCATTAGCGTACTAGTTAAATAAAAGCATACAAACAGAAAAATGGTGAAAAATTCATAATTTTTAATCAATTCTTACTTTTAAGATTACATTCGCTAAAGAAGAAATATTTTTCCCAATAAATCCGGAAAATAATAGAAGTATGAATACAACGTGGACATTTCTTCTAAATAAAATTGTTTTCAATTATTTTTATTACTTGTAAACTGATATTATGTATTTTCTATTCTGTATTTTTAAATCTACTACAGCTATTTTTTTTTTCACCTCTTCCATCTATCTGGCATTCTTCCAACTTCAAAATAAATGTGAGTCCTTTTAAAAAAATGATTATATTCACATTTCATGCAAAAAAGGTACCTTATATCTGAAAGACGCATCAGGCAAAGATATTATAACCATTAAATTAACATAAATGAAAAATTATATAATGAATAACATCATTTTGTGGAGATCGGTGCCAGCTCTACTTTATGGCCATTTAATTGCCCAGCCGAATTTTATTAATATTTTTAACCGAGAATGACACAAGAGAGCTTTTTCAGTAGCATAGATTACACTGTGGTAATAATAAACAGTGGTAATGTTATTCGTAAATTGATCTTACTTTACGAGTTGTCCCAGGATGAGAGGATGGTATATTTTGGTAATGAATAACGGAGCGGGACTCAGATAAGCACTTGAATAATTGAAGCTGCGACCAAAATTAAAAGATATTACAAGGCAGAAAAGGAGATAATTAAATGTTACATGATAAAATATCAGGTTTCCTGGGCAACGGACGTTTTATTACGATCACTTTTCCTCGTGTTTAAAGAATGGAGTGCGGAAAAAATGTACATTAATCTCCCAGGGCCTTGTAACTACTCGTGATAAGGAGTTAAGGGAAGGAAAACGTTCAATGTTCATTATGAACTATGATCCTGGACAGTGAAGAACCATAAAGGCTTGATTTATTAGAAAAAGTCAATGATTTTTAAACTGAGCTTTTAGAAAGATAAACTTTGGTACAATTTATTAAGGCCTCTCCGAGATGGGTGTGGTATTTTAAACGATTATTTTTGTGGCTCGGGTCGAGATCATTACGTAATTTAAGATGTCGTCAGATGAAGGGATACTAAGGACTCAATCATTGGGGAATATTTTGGGGGTGATGAAAGGTACTTAGTTCATTGAAATTTTCCCCATCATTAGATAGATGTTTTATTATTTACTATTAAACAGAAAACAGAAATAAAATTGGTTATTTATGAACTTTGAACACACTTATCCCATTTCGAAGACACTTTAAAGGGAATATTTTCCTAATATGCGTAAGAGATTCTTGTTCTAATAATATTTAATTGTTATGAAATTTTAAGTCAATACTCCTTTGTGTAAACTACAAACAACGAACTTTATAATAGTTTTATATTTAAATAGTATTTTTTTTCTGTAAGTTCACTTCAATTATGTTTCATAAATAATTAAAATAGTTAATTAAATTTATAAAAATTTTATAGCTTTTATTACTAATTAAAATGAAAAAAAAATTAAGTACTTATTTTAATTTTATTCAAAATGACAAATAAAAAATCTTAAAAATATCAAGAATTACTCTTTTGTGTAAACTACAAGCAACCAACTTTATAATAGTTTTATTTTTAAATAGTATTTTTTTCATTTAAGTTCACTTCAATTACGTTTTATAAATAATAAAAGCAGTTAATTAAATTAATAAAAAAGCTTTTATAATACTTATTACTAATTAAAATGAAAAAAAAACTTTAAGAACGTATTTTAATTTTATTCAAAATGACAAATAAAAATCTATAAAATATCAAGAATGTTCGATATTAATTTTCCAACGTAAATATCTAAAACAAAAACTGTTTTAGTTGAAAATGAGTTTATCGAAAAATATACGTCTGAATTTACTTCTCGTTATTGGTTCTGTTTTAGCTGTTTTTGTGTGGGATTTAAATTGAACTCTATCTAATATGAAGCAAAAGTCTATATTTTTTTTTGTTTTTTTATCAGTTGCTTTTGGTTTGTAATAAAAAATACGGTTTTGCACTTTTTATTTCTGATTAAATCTTGATCAGAATTTTAATTGAAATTTTCAGCGTTTTGATAAATTATCAAAAAATATTTAAGTTGGAAAAAATATTTAAATTTGAAATTTTTATTTTTATTTTTTTCAATAAAAATGTAATGATTGTCTATTTTTATTTTAAGAAGAAAAAAAAATTTCTCTGAATTAAAGATCTGATAATGACATAAGTGTTAGATATATATTTTTTAATACACACAAAATCACTTTGTGTTAAAAATAATGTTAATTTATATTAAGAATGTAGAAGAATGTTTTTTTTAAGAATAAGATTTCTACCGGTATCTAATATTATGCACGGAGGACATTATATTTTTAGTATATATATATAGTACTTACAATAATAAAATGTCTATTAGGCATTTTTTTTTCAACCTGAAGCCAAGAAAGTAGTCAGATTTGTCCCTCTTTGTTGCTTATATTGAAAAGCGAAAAAAGACATAAAAATGTGTCTTTTATTTCTTAAAATATAGTTCCAGTTCTTTTTTATAGTTTAGCTCTTCCTATTTTAACAAATAATCTGTTCAAGTGAGTATGGAAAAGAACTGCATTGTTTTTAAAAGTTTTATAAAGCTTTCAAATCAGCATACAAGAAATTCAGTACATTTTTGATTATTTGAATATTTTGGAAATCTCTTTTTTTTCGGGATATTAAGCAGTTTAGTTTTAGTTCAAATATAATGTAAAGTTCAAAATAGAATTAGAATTATTACATTCTTTTTATTACATTATTACACAATTTTTACATTCTTTTACTGTTTTCGACAGTTTCTCCATTAATATACCATATTTAAAAAGAAGATTGAATGAAGTTATTTTCCATTTTGTCTTCCATTTTTGAAGAATTTTGTTTGCGGTTAACCCATCTCTTTCTGTGCAATTCAGGTACAAAGAAACTCCCATTCACTGTAAATCATCTATTTTTAAAAAACTATCACTTCGTATTCTTACTTTGCTTCATTTATTTATTTTGGAATTATGGCAAAATATTGAGGCATTTTTTGACTTACTCGGTTATTATTTTTCTGTTATTATTTATACCGCAATTTAGCCTTTGTTTAACCTCAACAAACAGTTCTGTACAGTCATATGCGAAGAACAAACTATTTTTCTTTAAGTCTAGAAACAAATTCTAAAATTTATCATCTTCGCATTACTGTATTATACATTTTTATAGCAAAATATTATTTAGTTTTTTTATTATTGCAAGGTATGTTTGCTCATCATTTTATCGTTTCAACTGTATGATTAACAAAGTGAATGTATTCAATAAGCCAAGCATATATTTAAAAAAAATCTTACCAACAACAGTGACAAGTAAAGCTGAATGCCTCGTCCGCGCTTTTTTAAAATCAACTCTACAACGATAGATACCCTCATCATCCAAAGAAATTCTTTCTACTTGCAAAACAGCTGGATGCTCTTTCGAACTGAATGATGATCTGCCTGTTAGTTCTTCACTGGATGCATGCCTTGCTTGTCCAAGTTTTCCTCTTCTCGCATCAATACTGTAAATTGGTGTTGCTATTTCATCTTTATACCACAGAACTAAGTACACTTCATCATCAAGCATATTGGAAGTTATATCACATGGAAGAGACATTAGGCCACCTGACACTGCTTTATAAGGGACTGGTATTTCTGGAAGAACAAAAATTAGGGTGTTATTACC